ATGATATAAATTTCATAAACTATTTCTTTAAAATTAAACTGCTCAAAGTTATTATCGATTAACTTAATTTTATATAATTATTAACACACATAATAATTATCATATTAATTAAATAATTAATATAGAATGTAGTGCATAAATTATATCTAATTTAAACTTTAATGATTAATTAATATATATAATTAGTAATTAATATTAATAGTAATTAGCTTTATTTAATATTTTCAACTCTCTTTTTGGTCTCATGTTAATTTGTAATTAACTTTTTTATTGAATTTTTTATCATTTTATATGACCTATAAATTGATTTTATTATGTTTTAGTGCAATGATCTTAATTTCAATAAATATCTCAATTTAAAACTAAATCCCTAACCGTCATAAATCCCTGATATATGTTACAAACCAGATTCTAAGGATTTACAAGATTTAACATTTAACATAACCAAAACAGTTTTTAGATTTAACAAACATTTCGGATTTACTAAATCCTAGGATTTAAGGATTTATTAAATCCCATTAAAATTAAATCCCACTTTGTTGCCAAAACAGCACTAAACTTCGAATTTTACTTAAGCTGCGCAATTGGTCGCGATTTAACTTAAATCCGGAAAGGTCTGCATTAACCTTCTCCTCCACACCAAGTAGGACCCTGTAGAAGCCTTCGCCGTGCGAGCTCTCGTCGCGACTTTTCTTTATTTGTCGTGAGGGTTTCATGTAGCATGCGAGAAGGTGGAAGACGCGCGTTTCATATTAGTTTATATGGTTAAAATTTTAAATATTAATTTTATAATTATATTAAGTTAATAAAAGTATCAAATTAGTAATTAATCTGTGAATTTAAAGAGGAATCTTTATTTTAATAGTATAAAATTATAAAAGTGATTATGTTTAGATATTATGATTTATGCTAAATTAAAAATAAATATAATTATTAAATTTGGGACGTTATATTATTTTTATTTAAATTTGACTAATAATATAATTATTTTTAAATTCAATTTGTAAATTGAAAGTTCGAAAAGGTTGTGATAGACCTCAAAGAATTTGGCCCGAGGCGCATCAAAAAACAAGAAATTGATAATTTAAAAGTCAAGGTACTAAAAAATGATTGATTTTTAGTTTTTTGCTACAAGAAAATTTGAAATTAATCAATTTAGATTAGTTAAATTGTGCACATAGCATTAAAATTTTAAAAGATTTTTTTTTTTTTTTTGTTTATTTAATACATGTATAATTTTCTTATTGCAAGGTCACAATCCACACATAAAGTGCAGTTTAATCCAAATGAAAATATTTGAAAAGTGCCAACAAATTTCAACCTCGCAAATAATATTAATAATTACATAAGAGAAAACAAATGCAAAAAAGAAAAGCACACCATAAGATTTTTATAATGGTTCGGTGAACCGACCTATGTCCACTCCTTGGAGTCCTTCACTCCGAGTATTGCACTATCATTATAGTGTCTGCTCCTTTTGCCCCTTGAGGTAAGCTGGAGAAGCCCTCACTGAAAGCCCTTACCCACCAAAACGGTGCGGCGGAGGGAGCTCAGAGCTTTTGTCACCCTCCAGAGTGATAGCAACGAGACCTTAATCTTTTCTCCTTCTAGAGAAAGCAGAGTACCTTGAACTCCTTTCAACTAATCATGGTGATGGCAAAAAACCGCTCTTTTGAGCTAAAAAAATCTCCCCTAGAGCCATCCAAGAAACCTAGATAGACACTTGAAGGAAATAAGGTCAAGAGCACTTGCTTGGAGCAACCCATGGTGATCCCCTCACAGCTACGTTTCTCCCTCACACACAGGCACTTGTCCCTCTTCTTCCCAAAGCTTACATATATCTTCTTTCAAAGCTCCCTCTCAAGAACACTCGCATCAAAGAAATTGAAACAAAGTCAATGAGAGGAGATTTAAATATAAGACCCACACAGAAAAATCCTAATTTAATTTCATGGGTGACTCCTGATTGCAATAGTACAATCCATCATAATAATACAATCCTGCGATTATCCAGTACGATTAGTGCAAAGTACTCATGTTTAGTACTATATGAAGAATGATGTGATGTACGATCATTTTAAGGAATTAAGCTAATCATCATGACAATTTAGATCATCATCCAGCTACAAATTAGTTCTAATAGACTTGGATTAATCATTCTAGTACAATTGGCAATGATTTACTGATGCATCCCATGAAAGAATTGGGTTATACAATACGATGCGTCCAATCATCTCTATACAATCTAAAAGGATTAATTGAACTCCAATTTCATTCCCTATTCATAGGGATTAAATTTAGGTAAGATTTAATTACATTATAAATAATGATATCTATCGTCCAGGTATTGGCGTACAGAAATGAATTTCAAAATATTGACCAAATTGTGATTGGCGGCCTGGGATCTAATTTTCAACTAATCATCCTGTATGATTAATTTAAAATCTTGCAATTAATATCACAATTAGTTGTTTTAATCAATTTTTTTATTAGCTGATCGTACAGTACGATATGAGTAGATATATTATGATATAGTCAAGAATCAACTTTTGATTTTTATCACTAACTCACTCCTGAGTGTGAGTGTGCATGGTTACAACATAGTACCGCACAAAAATTTATTCATTTGACCTCAAGAAGATAAAATACATAAGAATTTGAAAATACAGACTTCCATAATATAGTTAACCCTAGCTATCCAATCTTGAAACTGATCAGAACTTTCAAGATAGTATGGGTGTAGCCTAAATGTTAGTGCATAGGAAAAATAGATATACAATAATACAATTAACATGAGATAACACAGTAAGAAATCTAATAATATTTTTTATAATCCAAACCACAACACTTGGGTCCAAATTTATAACAATCTCCCTTTGTTTTATTTGAATGAACAAATATGTTGGACAATATCTCAAAAATATTTTTGCTATTTCCTAAAACTCTCCTTATTACACTAAACAGGAAAACACGGGATTACCGTGTGAATTTTCTGGCGGAAAGTATGCCATCGGTAATAACCGGCACATGTAAACAGCGTCTTAATGCCGGACGGAAAATTTCTGAACTCATTTCCGGCGCAACGTCTAGCCCGACAATATTTCCGGCGACCTGTTTGCCCGGTATGCTGCGACGGAATAACCCAACATTTCACCGTTTTCCGTCGCATGCGTTACGGGCGGAAAATAACCGCGCACCTTACCGGCGGATAATGCCGCGGTGTATTTTAAAACTCAGACGATTAATTCTGACCCATGATGCGCACAGAATTGTTTTTCGACGTTCCAAAACACCGAAAATCGCCGGCGAAAGCCTTATTTTCGAGGCCCAAGCCCCTCTGGCCGGCTTCACCGTTGTTTCGTCTGGTTCTCTCAGCATTGCGCAGTTTGCGCTCGTCGCCTCCTGTCGCCTCTGCCGTAGATCAAGGTCACCAGGACCGGTCACCATGACTTTGTTGACAGTCAACGGACTTCGCCCTTCCTCGCTAGCATTACCTGGTCGCCTTATTTTCCCTTTCTCCCTCCGGAACAATTCTCGACGGCAAGGTTTGTTTTTTCATTTTTCGTTTTTTTTTTTTTTTTTTTTTGGCTTAGCCATGGATGTTCTTAAGCATACATTTGCGAAGAGGGATGCTTCTTTTCATCCAGATGTAACCATGTTGCAGTAACAGGTATGCAAAAGATTTTAAGTTAGAATTATTTTAAAGCATATTAGTTAGGATGTTTCGTTCAACCAATATTTTAAAGCGAAAATTAGTTAGGATCCTCCGTATGAAGAACCAACATAATCTGAAGGCAAAAAAGGCATGACATCTAATATTATCATTAGTAATAATATATGGTCTGAGATATATTAATACCTTCCGTATACACATAAAGGTGGCTCTACTCCCCAGTAAAAACACGCCCTAGATAATCCAATGTCAGAGTAAGATTGTACAGCAATCATTGAGTTGAAATCCTCCATGTGGCAGTAAGGTTGGGGGATTCCACCCCCAATCCCCTTAGATGCATTAGCAATAATATAAAAATCTTCACCTCCACCACCAGGACCATTAGGAGTAAGAGAAAACGGCAGTTAAGTGCTCCCAAGGGAAGCGGTCCAACTTAGAATACCCGCCACTACAAAAGAGGCATTACATCTTGATATTAAAGAAAGAAAATTTTGAACATTGACAACTTGAGCAAATAACAAATATATATTCACAATTAATAACCTACACAATAATTTAAATTATATTAGTGCCAGTTAGCCTAGTAAGGATTTATCAAACCATTTTAATAGGCTCGCACGCAAGAAGTATCACTACAGCATGATCAGCTGGCAGAGCCCAGTACGTACTGGATGGGACACCTCGTCTCAGCCTGACTACACAGTCTCAGCCTGCCTACCATAGCCTCAAACCCTACTACCCACAGCCTTTACCCAACTCCCTGGAAGCAGTAGCCCCATAGTTTTACTCAGCAGACCTCCCCGATTTCCTTCACCAAGATCCCAGCAGAGTTATCCTTTCTACTCCGGTACTACACACCCCCACCTTTATGCTAGTGCACCTCCTACTTATCCCATTTTCACCATATGCTCCACGCATATATCCCCCACCAACCCCA